ATTTATTTTAGGATTAAACTTCAACTATCTTTCTAGGTAGACTACTATATCCTCATAATATTTTCATAAATTTAAATGCCATTTAGCAGACGCTTTTATCCAAAGCGACTTAGTCAAACAAATTGGACGTTTACATAAAAATGGAATGTAAGTACAGTGCCTTCGTAAAGTATTCACATCCCTTGACTTATTCCACATTTGTTGTTACAGCCTGATTTCAAAATGGATTCAGTTGATTATTTTTTTACCCATCTACACACAAATGTAGAGCAAAGGAAATACAGAAATATAGCATTTACATAAATATTCACTCCCTTTGCAATGACACTGCAAATTGAGCTCAGGCGCATCCAATTTCCTTTGATTATCCTTGAGATGTCGCTTCAACTTGATTGGAGTCCACCTGTGGCCAATTCAATTGTTTGGACATGATTTAGAAAGAAACACAGCTATCTATATACAGGTCCCACAGTTGACAGTGCATGGCAGAGCAGAAACTATACCATGAAGGAACTGTCCCTAGATATAATTGTGATGAGGCATATATATGGGGAAGGGTATAAAACCATTTCTAGTGTTGAAAGTTTCCAAGAGCACAGTGTTCTCAATCATTGGGAAATGGAAAAAATATGGAACTACACAGACTCTGCCTAGAGCTGGCCGTCCGACCAAACGGGCAAGAAGGACCTTGGTCCGGGAGATGACCAAGAACCATTCTGACAGAACTACAGAGCTCCTTGGCTGAGATGGGAAAACCTGACAAGACAACGGTCTCTACAGCACTTCACCAATCTGGGCTTTATGGGAATAGCCCGACAGAAGCCAGTCCTGAGAAAAAGGCACGACAGCACACCTGGAGTTTGCAAAAAGGCATGTGAAAAGAGATAAGGCAAAATATTCTGTGGTCTGATGAGACAAAAATTGAACTCTTTGGCCTGAATGCAAAGCGCTACGTCTGGAGAAAACCAGGCACAGCTCATTACCTGTCTTACACCATCCCTACAGTGAAGCATGGTGGTGGAAGCATCATGCTATGGAGACGCTTTTCAGCGGCAGGAACTGGGAGCAATGTTCCCTCAAACATTTAGGCACTGAGCAAATTTCAGGTCTGCGGAGCGCAAACTTGAATGTTGTGAAAATTCTGGCCTCACGTTTACTGTGAACACCGAGGCTGAACCCGCTTTAAGTTAATTTTAATAGTGGTCAAGTAGGCTACTGTGGCTATTTGATCATAATGTAGGCCTACCATAAACAATGAAGAAAATGCATCCCATAACATTTTGACATGGAAATAGCGGTTCTATCGTTCAGCCTACAGTAGCAGCCAATGTGTGGTGTTCAATGTAGGCCTACATTCCATGACACTTTTGAAAAAACCTTGCAGGGCTTGACATTAACCTGTTTATCCACTTGTCCTTCAGACAAGGTGACTGAAAATGTGTTTGATGCAAGAAACCACTTTACAAAATAAAATGCATCATTATCGCCATACCATTATTACACAGAATCAGACAAATTATACTCTCCTCTGCCTATTGGCAACTTAGTTTATTCAAGCCAGTCTCAAAATACAACACTGCCCATTTAAGACAAAAAAAGCCCTTTACCTGACTCGCTTTTCAAAGATGGCTAGAAATGCACACATTTTGTGCTCTTGTAGGAAGCAATCACTCCCCCGTTGCTGGACTAAAAATGATCTATAACTTGGCTAATAACTCACTAACTAGCAAAGGATATGAACAAACATCACTACATGTAGCTCTCGCTTTGATTTCAAAACAAGAGCATTTACTCACGACCGCTCATGCTGTAAACAGTACAGTTCAAAGTGAATGGCACAGATCCATATATGGCAATGGTCTATTTGCATTTAGGCCTACTGCAGCTCTGATTGGTTATGGCGCAGCAGTCTATGTAGAGTAAAGGCCTGAGTTGTACCTGTCAATGCAATAGAATCATACTCCGATGCGTTCTGCCTACAACAAAATATCTTGCATAGTTCGTTTTGTTTCGGTATGTTGCAATGAAAGTGGCTTACAGTGTTGATTCGATCACAATTCCCACAGTAAAGGGAAACGCTGATACTGTTAACGGGGACAACTCTAGAAAGTTGAGTGAAGTTTAATCTCGTGCTTCTCTGCGCGGTCTGATATTTATTCTGTGCGGCAGTCCCGGGGGAGCTGCGTGCGCAGCTTAGAGGGAACATTGACTTAGAGACTGGTAAGGATAGAGGGAACAATTAATGGAGCCATATATAGGCAACTCATCGATGAGAACCCGCTTCAGAGTGCAAACAACCTTTAACTGGGGTGAAGATTTACGTTCCAACAGGACAATGACCCTATGCATACAGCCAAAGTACCGCTGGAATGGCTTTAGAACAAGAACGTGAACGTTATTGAGTGGCCCAGCCAAAGCCCAGACTTGAATCCCATTGAAAATCTTAAGACTTGAAGATTGCTGTTCACCGCCACTCCCCATCTAACTTAAGCGCTTGAGAAAATCTGCAAGGAAGAATGGGCAAAAATCCCAAAATCCAGATGTGCAAAGGTGATAGACATACCCAAGACGACTCAGCTGTAATCGATGCCAAAGCTGCTTCTACAAAGTATTGACTCAGAGGTGTGAACACTTATGTAAATTAGAATTTTGTATTTCATTTTCAATGAATTAGCCAACATTTTTTACAAACATCATTATGGGGTATGGTGTGTAGATGGGTGAAATATATACACTACCTTTCAAAAGTTTGGGGTCACTTAGAAATGTCCTTGTTTTCGAAAGAAAATAAAAAAAATTGTCCATTAAAATATCAAATTGATCAGAAATACAGTGTAGATATTGTTAATGTTGTAAATGGCTATTGTAGCTGGAAACGGCTGATTTTTTATGGAATATCTACATAGGCGTACAGAGGCCCATTATCAGCAACCATCAGTCCTGTGTTCCAATGGCACGCTGTGTTTGCTAATCATTTTAAAATGCTAATTGATCATTAGAAAACCCTTTTGCAATTATGTTAGCACAGCTGAAAACTGTTGTGCTGATTAAAGAAGCAATAAAACTGGCCTTCTTGAGACTAGTTGAGTATCTGGAGCATCAGCAATTGTGGGTTCGATTACAGGCTCAAAATGGCCAGAAACAAATAACTTTCTTCTGGAACTCTATTCTTGTTCTGAGAAATGAAGGCTATTCCATGCATGAAATTGCCAAGAAACTGAAGATCTCGTACAACGCTGTGTACTACTCCCTTCACAGAACAGCGCAAACTGGCTCTAACCAGAATAGAAAGAGTGGGAGGCCCCGGTGCACAACTGAGCAAGAGGACAAATACATTAGTGTCTAGTTTGAGAAACAAGCGCCTCACAGGTCCTCACCTGGCAGCTTCATTAAATAGTGAACAGTGAAGAGGCGACTCCGGGATGCTGACCTTCTAGGCAGAGTTGCAAAGAAAAAGCCATATCTCAGACTGGCCAATAAAAATAAAAGATTAAGATGGGCAGTCTGAGATATGGCTTTTTCTTTGCAACTCTGCCTAGAAGGTCAGCATCCCGGAGTCGCCTCTTCACTGTTGACGTTGAGACTTGTGTTTTGCGGGTACTATTTAATGAAGCTGCCAGTTGAACCCACAATTGCTGATGCTCCAGATACTCAACTAGTTTCAAGGACAGTTTTATTGATTCTTTAAAATCAGCACAACAGTTTTCAGCTGTGCTAACATAATTGCAAAAAATGGTTTTCTAATGATCAATTAGCCTTTTAAAATGATTAGCAAACACAACGTGCCATTGGAATGCAGGACTGATGGTTGCTGATAATGAATCTGTACGCCCATGTAGATACTCCCTTAAAAATCAGCCGTTTCCAGCTACAATAGCCATTTACACCATTAACAATGTCTACACTGTATTTCTGATCAATTTGATGTTATTTTAAAATGGACAAAAAAAAAATGCTTTTCTTTCAAAAACAAGGACCACAAACTTTTGAACGGTAATATATATATATATATATATTTTTAAAATTTATTCCATTTTGAATTCAGGCTGTAACACAATGTGTAATAAGTCAAGGGGTATGAATACTTTCTGAAGGCAATGTATAACTCTGCAATTTCTATACACTGACTTCTATTTCCAAAACTGAAACTTTCAACAAATGATTACAAGTTACTGCATTCTTTGGTTCGTTAGATTAGAGCAAAAAACAAGAACAAAAAAATCATATTACGTAACTGCTGTGGTATACTCTGTTTCTGCTGCTATACGAGCAGTTAAAACAGGATTGTGTTATGCAGCACTCAAACCCCATTATCAATTTGAGACAAGAAAATGACTAGTAATATTTCAAAATGTGGCTATAATCTAAACAAATTCATACAACACCCCATTTCAAGTAGCAATGTCCTTAAACTCTTCAGGAGAAAAATTATATTCAAAAAAATAATGAAGTAACAAAAGATGACATGGCACTCAAAAAAAAATGAATAAAGTGGATGTGACACGTGCACAATAAAATGATTTATCCCTCTGCACTGGGAGAAGCTTCAGAGGGCAGGGCAGCAGGTCCCCTTCAGTGTGTTTCAACAATCCCAATTTCCTCACTGTCCTCATTGAGTTGACACTCACATCGGGGACAAGTCCAATTAGACCCAGAACGGTGGCCATTTTGAAAGGCCAAAAAGGGCATTAATTAGTGCTCTTTTTATTAAAAAAAAAAAAAAGAAGAATGAAAATGCTGTTATCTTGACCAATAAATCAACTTAAATCTTTGAAAATATATTTTAAGTGTTTTGTCTTTGTCCTCGTGAGCTGGATATGGTGGAGAGGGGAGGTTGAAGGACATTATGGCTCCTTCCTTCTCCTGGCTAGAGCTGCAGGAAACTGAGCTGGAGCCTAGCTGCCCTTGGGGAAGCCCAACCGAGGAAACTCAAAACACGCAGCTACAGCCCTGGTTGCTGGAGGAGAAGGGAGGGGAGCCCTGCAGATGTCCTTATGTACTTACTTAAAACCCTGCTGGTTCCAGGCCTGGGCCTGGCCGTAAACCCCATAGGTGGGTACCTGCCACCCGTTGGGGACGTACTGGCCAATCTGCTGGGCATTGCCGTACCACTGGGCATACTGGCCGTAGGGCTGGGCTGCAAAGCCCACCTTATTCTGTCGTAGGGGAGAGAGGACAACCGTGTAAGAGAGTGTGTGTTTAAGCGGTGTCGATGAGGGGAAGCCTCTGGCTGTGGTTTCATACCTGGGGAACTTGTTGCACCTGCTGCATAGGACTCATCATGTCTGGGGTCTCTTTACCCCAGTAACACTTCACCATATGGCCCTCTATCGAAGTCCCATTCACAGACACAATGGCATGGGCTGCTCCCTCGTGAGAGTTAAACCTGGACAAAGGAGAGGAGTCAAAATACTGAGTGCAAGGTACTGAGAAACATCCGCAGAAAATTATATTTCAAGGATACTAAATGTTTGTCAGAGGTCTGTTTAGTGATTTGATCTCATGACATACCGCACAAAAGAGTATCCTTTGTCTGGGAACACACGGATTTCCATGATTTGTCCAAAGGGGGAGAAGGTCTGTCTCATCAATTGTTCTAGAAAACAGGAGGGAGACATGTCAAAGACCCGTTTCTCTCTCACCAACTCTCTCTCACACTAGAAAGTGACCACTTCAATAACAGACTACTGACCTGTTAGACCGGTGCCGACTCCTCCACAGTACACAGTGCAGTTACTGGGGCTGGACTGGTTCACAACCTCATCAAAGGACAGGTGCTTCGTGTTGGCTATTAGACACAGGGGAATTTAGAATGAATAAATGCATTGCCATTCAACAAAATAAGAGGATCCGAGGAACACAAAATATAGTAACATTTATTAAAGTTATTACATTTTACTCTGCACTTAACCAATCTTAGAGGACAAAATAGATAAACAAATAATGGTAAGATATAACCAACCATTTCTGCTCAATGGCAAACGCCCTGGAAAGCCTATCTTGCCTGGACTCACTTTCATAGGTGGTTTTAGGGGCTGGGGGCTTTCTAGTGGCCCAGTTGGTCCTGATCTGTCTGCCACCTAGCCATTGGCCACCCATCTGCTGAATGGCATTCTCTGCATCCTGTGGGTAGCAACATATATATTAAATCACATGACCCATCTACACACCCAAATACCAAAGGATAATGTTATGACTACATATACAGGAACCCGTTCAGTTTTGAGTTATGACTAAATCCCCTATGTAAGTGATTTCATCCATCCATAACACTTACCCACTTGTTGAAGAAAGAGACAAAGCCATAGCCTTTAGACTTCCCTGTCGCCACATCTTTGACTACACGAGCATCCCTGAGGAGAAACACTATTTACTCAATATGAGGAAGGAATAATGTGACCATAAAAAAACAAACTGCTGTCTGATATGTCCTAAATAGTAATGTGTGATTTCAAGCCATCCAAAGTATTATTATTAACTCACGAGTGACTTATTAATCTTGAGATGGACAGAGCAGATAGACATGAATGTTTGTGAGGTACTTACGATATCCTCCCAAATGGACCAAAGGCCGCTTTTACATCGTCTGTGGTGATTTCGGGGCTGAGGTCTCCGACAAAGACATGGAAATGATCTGTTGGAGGACAGGAGAGACAACTACTGTGACAACTTGCTAGATGCAGCACTTTGAAGAAATCAAGAATTGCCTTGTTGTTGTTTATAGAAGTCTCTGGATAACAGCTAATTGACTAAAATGTAAATTTAAAATGACCACATTCTCAGAGGAACCCTCAATAAGGTTTTCTATGGAACTGACTGAAAAGGTAGCTAGGCACTTACTGCTTGTGTCTTTTTTCTGACTGCTTGGCGTTGTGGCCCAGTTGACTTTAACCTCCTAGAGAGAGAAGGGAAGATAGAAAACAGGCCAGGTGGGGTATGTTTTATGTCATTTAGATACAATAGGCTATTTTACTACCTCAGTTTGTGTGGTGCTTTCTGTGTGAAAGAAATGAGCCAGCCATGACCAAACACAGTGTGAATCTCTGAATGCAGTGATGAGCAGAGAACAGAACACCTGAGCACTCTAAACAACTGGAACATAAACTGAATAAAAGGTCCAAGTAACAAAGGACTTACAAACCAGTGACATTATCAACTTGTATTACTCTTCAAATGGTCCTTCATTACCTGTTGAGGATAACATAATTTGCACTGAATATATTTCTGCTGAGGTTAGGACCTATATTTGTTGTGAAGCTGTGGGTCTGGAAAAGGTACAGAAATTGTTTTAGTTGGCTATTGCCAAGGACAATGTAATGCACAGCTACTGTGGATTACTTTGGATAAGGAAAGGGCCCATTTCCCTTAAATATAGCTTTAGGGGTTATTAGCATAGGGAGTGGTTTTGCAAAAGAAAACAGTGATCGGTCAAGAACATATATTTAATTTGTCACATGCGCCGAATAAAACAGTTGTAGACCTTACCGTGAAATGCTTACTTACAAGCCCTTCACCAACAATGCAGTTCAAGAAATGGAGTTAAGAAAATATTTACTAAATAAACTAAAGTAAAAAAAACAAAAAGTAACAATAAAATAACAATAACGAGGCTACATACAGGGGGTACCGGTACCGAGTCAATGTGCGGGGGTACAGGTTAGTCAAGGTAATTTGTACATATAGGTAAGGGTAAAGTGACTATGCAATCAACCACTAAGTGAGAATGCACTCGATTTCCATACAACAGACCTAGCGTACTCCATATCTGAAGAAATGGGATCAGACATATTATACATGGACATGCCTGGTAGTCAGCATTGGAACCAACTATGGTGGTTAGGCCATTACTTTGAATCAGATCACACATCTATTAGTCTCATTTACTCTGGGGATGTACTTACTGTTGGACGGGAAATCGGAATAAGCCATTCTCACTTTACAACGCAATTCATAACTTTGCCATTTCAACTTCGGTGAGATATTCGTTGCCCGACTCAGATAGTGCTCTCATAATTTAGGCCTACTGGTTGGTCAAACTTCTTCAACAACAACCCACCCATCCCAACTCACCCTGTAGATACGATAGCTTACCTTACCCATAATTTTACGTCCATTCATGGCAGCCAGTGACGCGGCAGCATGCCTGTGTTCATAGAACTCCACAAAGCAGTATGGGTCATTGCCTGCAGTCTGTAAGAGGACAACAAGAGTTAGGCTACAAAGAGTCCAAAGCATTGTGTCAACCATATTAGCCACATGTACTTATCAGACAGTTACCATCACCATAAACATCTGTCGATTAGGTCCTGTGTAGCTCAGTTGGTAGAGCATGGCGCTTGCAACGCCAGGGTTGTGGGTTCGATTCCCACGGGGGGCCAGTATGACAAAAAATGTATGCACTCTAACTAACTGTAATTAATTAATTAACGTTTAAATGAATTTGGGATCGTTAACAAAAAATCCCTAACCGAAAAACAAATGCTGTAACATTAGGAGATATGAATCTTTCAAATTATTTGCCACGGATATAAAGCACTCTGCACGTCAGATTATAAATTGGAAAAATGGCAACAACAAAAAGTGCTGTATGGCAATACATACACTGAGAAGGTGGTGAAATGTAAACTTTGTGAGGTGGAATTGAAGTACAGTAATGGTAGTACAGGTGCAATATTTAACCATCTGAAAGGGTGAGAGCCAAACCGTTGCTGGCAGCAGCACAGGCCCCCAACAGACATCTTCACACTAAATAAGTGTGATAAGGGACGGAGTGAAGTCGCTCTGGATAAGAGCGTCTGCTAAATGACGTAAATGTAAATGAGTGAGAAAAATCACAGCACTGACTACAGAAATGATTGCAGTTGATATGCAGCCATTGTCAATAGTTGAGGATGTAGGCTTCAATACCCGATGGCATATCTAGAACCAGACTACAACATGCCATGTCGAAAAACCGTGACGGCCCGGGTGGAGAAATTGTATAATGGTTGCTCTGCAAGAGTACTGACCTCTGACAACATGGAGAGGCACACAGCCATAGAGATAAAGGACTAATCTGTTTCATTATAGCGTCTGACAGCATGGGCAGCGCCATTGAGGCTATAGCCCATAGGAAACCCCACCCAGTTCACTACTTTTCAGTCATTTTTTACATTTAGCTCGACATTAAATTACTTCACCAATCAGTGAGGATAGAACAGCTTGCTATAGAGCGGGTAAGCTATTTTATTTGTGTAGTAAAGTCATTAAAAGCTAATTGTATTTTGCCATAACAGTATGGTTTAATCATAATGAAAGACAAATGCACTGTGCTGCCAGTCACTATGGCCAGATCAGTGTAGGGCGAGAGATGAGACTGACATTTTGCAGGTGGGGAGAGAGCGAGAGGGTGGAGGAAGCTTGGCTTGAAGAGCTGGGCGTCTTGTTATGAGATGCACTATCTGAATTAGGCCCACAGTATTATACCTACGGAGGAGTGGCTTCTATGTAGGAGCTTTGAATGTCTGATGGCTTAACGTTGGACCAGAGCAAACGTTAGCTAGCTAACAAACCTGTGTGTGAAGAGCAACACAAGTTAAAAACACATCATACCTTTTTGTAGTTAATAAATCCAATGTGAAAAGTGATATAGTATCCTTAACTAGCATTGAAAATGTTAATGCATTCTCCAATTAAACATCTGTCCTTAATTTCTGAATCACGCTTGTAATGTCGTCAGTAGGGCAAGTAGGCTACACACACACACAGAGATTTCAAGCTGGCAGGCAGACGCTGGAATAAGTTTGAGTGACGGAGTGAGGGCTTTGCATAGGTGCTTTGTTGTGATTTTTGTGGGACTGGGAGAAGAAAATGCCCTAAACCGTAAAATAACGTTATTAACCGGTTGTAATGCTTAAAAAAATAATAATAACAGTTCTGTTCCGGAACAGTATAGATCACACTATTGTTTGATTGGGTTCGATCCCCGGGACCACCCATACACAAAAATGTATGCATGCATGACTGTAAGTCGCTTTGGATAAAAGCGTCTGCTAAATGGCATATTACTATTACTATTCTGTCCCTCAAATGATGTTATTTTCCATAGAGCCCCACAGTGGAGGTGTCATAATACCCATAAAACCTAGTGGTCAAAAAGGGAAATAGTTCCAATCATTTTTCCACCACTCATTTTTCCCCATAGAGGATTTGAGAAACACTTAAAATAAGTGCTGTGTTTCGTGTAGGCTTACCCTGGCGTGACGTTTTGATAACCGTGTAAATCTCTCGGACAAGGTGACTTATCAATATATTTTGGCTCTATTTACGCTGATTCGAAAATGCTAATTAGCATCAAAGTAGACATCATGCAAGACTACAAATCCCAGCAAGCTCCTGCATGTCATCTCTAGCTGGCACCTTTGCTAACAGGTACATTTAAAGAAATGTAGCAAGTGTATTAATTACTACATTTCAAATCAAACGTTGTCACATGCGCCAAATACAACAGGTGTAGTAGACCTTACAGTGAAATGCTTACTTACAAGCCCTTAACCAACAATGTAGTTAAGAAAAATAAGTGTTAAGTAAAAAATGTATAAGTAAAACAATTTACAAATAATTAAAGAGCAGCAGTAACATAACAGTAGCGAGGCTATATACAGGGGGTACCAGTACAGAGTCAATGTGCGGGGGTACAGGTTAGTCGAGGTAATATGTACATGTAAAGTGACTATGCATAGATAATAACATCAGACAGTTAGTACAGAGATTCTTACCTTTGCCTCGATTCGGAAGTCTCGTCCATATCATCATGGCATTTATAGTTCTTTATGATAGCCACATTAGCAGCTAATTAGCCTTTCATTTGTTGGAGGTAAATACAGGTGACTATATTGATAAAAGTCACCTTGTCCAAGAAAGATTTACACAGTTATCAAATCATCACGCCATGGTAAGCCTGAACAAAACACAGCTCTTTTAAGTTTTTCTAAAATTCCCAATGGGAAAAATTAATGGTGGAAAAACGATTGGAATCATTTCCCTGTTTGACTGCTAGGTTTTATGGGTATTATGACTCATACTGTGGTACTCTATGGCGCTGTCCATGCTAAAACAGCCTTTTGGCCAAGAGGCCTCTATCATTCTCTGTGCACACAGCAGAGAACCTAAAAACAGCATAAAACGTTTAACGCGCGAGTTCCAAATATCTTTAACGGTCCCCCCAGCTTGAGTTTTTTTATGCACGTGATGTCAGAATGCACTCTGTTCCAAAATGTGATTGTTACGCAACAGGACAGTTAACCCACGCTGCCCTCAAACCAAGACACGCTGCCTGCTAATTATCTATAGGCTGTTTCAACTTGTCAATTTCTAATTATTTAGTTTTATTTAACAACCGTTTGAATTGAGGTGTGTTCCACCTCAACAATTCACATAGAAGTAGCCCATTTCACTGTGGTGGACAATTTACGTTGGAGGCATTACGATTAGCAGGACAAACTTCTCTCTTCGATGTGAGCCCAAGCACTTCCCCTGGTCAAGTATGCAGACATTTGCGCATCTCCAGTCAGAACAGAACCTGCACAAACTCCCCCCCCCCCGGCGCATTTTCCGGTTGGTGCCCACATTGCCTTCATTGTCGTTTTCCTTACTAATAACACGAGGGAGGAGGAGGTCTTCCCTGTAACGCACAGCGTTGAGATTGCCTGCAATTACAACAAGCTCAGTCTGATGATGCTGTGATACACCATCCCAGACCATCCACCTCGGTCCTGCTCCAGAGTACAGGCCTCTGTGTAACGCTCATTCCTTCGATGATAAACGCGAAACCGACCATCACCCCTGGAGAGACAAAACCGCGACTCGTCAGTGAAGAGCACTTTTTGCCAGTCCTGTCTGGTCCAGCGACGGTGGTTTGTGGCCATAGGCGATGTTGTTGCCTGTGATGTCTGGTGAGGACCTGCCTTACAACAGGCCTACAAGCCCTCAGTCCAGCCTCTCTCAGCCTATTGCGGACAGTCTGAGCACTGATGGAGGGATTGTGCTTTCCTGGTGTAACTCGGGCAGTTCTTGCCATCCTGTACCGGTCCCTCAGGTGTGATGTTCGGATGTACCGATCCTGTGCAGGTGTTGTTACACGTGGTCTGCCACTGCGAGGACGATCAGCTCTCCATCCTGTCTCCCTGTAGCACCATCTTAGGCGTCTCACAGTACGGACATTGCAATTTATTGCCCTGGCCACATCTGCAGTCCTCATGCCTCCTTGCAGCATGCCTAAGGCACGTTCACGCAGATGAGCAGGGACCCTGAGCATCTTTCTTTTGGTGTTTTTCAGAGTCAGTAGAAAGGCCTCTTTAGTTTCTATAACTGTGACCTTAATTGCCTAACGTCTGTAAGCTGTTAGTGTCTTAACGACCGTTCAACAGGTGCATGTTCATTAATTGTTTATGGTTCATTGAACAAGCATGGGAAACAGTGTTTAAACCCTTCACAATGAAGATCTGTGAAGTTATTTGGATTTGTACAAATTATCTTTGAAAGACAGGGTCCTGAAAAAGGGACGTTTTTTTTTTTGCTGAGTTTATGTGCGTTCCTATGAAAGTAAGTGCCTAACTATGCTATCATAATATTTTATGTATATTGTGTTGTCGTTTCTACTGTAGCAAACCATATGTATGGAGCATAACGTATTCTGTGTGTATTCCTTTATAACTGCGTACACACAAGGTACTAATTTCATAACCGTTATGGTGTTATACTCAATTGTGCTCATGTAGCTAGCGACATTCTTCTTTAAGCTCTGTAAAACAATGCTAATTGCATCAGATAAGTATTAGTTTGTGTTGTATCCTTTGAAGCTGCCCTGGCCTTATGACCATGGCCTGGGTTGTCATTTGGCCTGTTCAGCATAGCTCTGTTCTGTCCTGCCCCCTTGGAGCTTTTCAGTTAGAGTTTTACAGTTATATCATTCATAATTGTGATTGTCAATGCAACTTATTTTTATAGCAGTGTTATGCTACTTACTTGTAATATTGTTTTATTGCTATATCCTGATATTGTATTCTAATTGCTAATAACTCCTCTTTATTCTGTACTTTTAGAAACCACACACACAGTATTGAACATAACTTGCAAACATAACTGGAAATCTGTCTTGCCGAAGATTGAGGACATATTTTGTATGCTAGCAACATACTGTTTGGAGAGTGAGTAGGGAGGATGAGGGAGTAGAGGATGAGGAGGGAGTGGGGGGAGGTGGGCGGGATATTTTCAATATAATTGCATAATGGAACTGTATTTGATTTATATGTGAACTGTATGTCTAATTACAAAAAACCTTGTTCAGTAATCATCTCACTTGTTAGCTGGTGGTGAACTATGTGGCCATTGAGGATAGCAGTGTCAATCAGACTGAAAATATATTTTACCACTTGGTGGTTTTCAAAGCACATGCCACAAAGCTGTTTATCATGTCCGCCTTATTCACTGCCCCCATTTTGCGATTATAGTCAAGCACACCGTCTGGTTTGATCTTTCTCTCTCCCGTCAGGTGGTCCACCTTCCCTGTGGCTCCCTAATCTCCTATAGCTCTAAGGCATAGCGATTGGTGTCCTCCACTATGTCCCTGTCAGAAACAGCTTAAAACACTTTGCCTCAGAGGGAGATGGCAAGGGGCATTGCACTCCAGACTGGGACTTAATGCCAACAGCAGGGACAGGAGGGGTGAAATGGCTGGCGGCCTTCCAGCTACCGCAGACCTCCTGTACTTCACCACTACCAGTATCTTCAGAGGGACCTGGGCCTTTGTTGGTGGTCAGGGTTCTCATTGGCCACAAGGTTGAGGGACAGCTCCTCAATGTCACAATCTGATTCTTCAGAAAAAAAATCAGAATTTACAAAAATCTCCTGAATTTCCACATTTGTGAGTTGTCTCCTTTTGAAAAGCATTGATAATGCTACAGCTTACTGGGTACATACATAAACAACAATACTGAATGGCTCCACGTGAGTGTCGTGAGTGACATGATTGGCTGCCAGTGGGGTGAAACTGATGATTTGTCTCCACAGATTGTTTGTTTACATAACAGGGTTAGGATGATTAACGTGGCAGGTTAGGAGAACTAACACAGCAGGTTAGGTGAATTAACGTAGAAAGTTAAGAGAATTAGGTTAAGGTTAGGGAAAGGGTTAGTTACAGTTGTCAACAACTGCTGCCCCCGACGTGACCACTAGATAGCGCTGTTGTAGGCCTAGGTACTCAATCTAGCAACAATGGCAGAAACGTAAACAAATCATATGTGGCAACAAATCACCACTATCATAATACTGGCACAGGCCATTTGTATTAATTTATTTTTCTGTTTTATTTCACGTTTTCAAGTACTGGTGACAAATCATGCATTCCAATCCTGCATAATGGACATACACTCACTGGTCAGTTTATTAGGTACACCCATTAGTACCGGTCAGACCCCCCTTTGTCTCCAGAACAGTCTGAAATCTTCGGCATATTCTACAATGTGTCGTAAATGTTCCACAGGGATGTTGGTCCATGCTGAAGCGATAGCATCACGCAGTTGCGGCAGATTGTGCGGCGGTACATTCGTACTGCAAACAGCCCGTTCCGTCTCATCCGAGTCTGAGGACTGTGCAGGCCCCTCAAGTAAACTGAACTTGCTGTCATGTTCCAAGCAATGTATTTTCGCTCCTCAATTGTCCAGTGTTTGTGATCGCGTGTCTGGAGCTGCTGCTTCTTGTTTTTAGCTGATAGGAGTGTAACCCGTTGTGGTCGTCTGCTGCAATAGCCCATCAGTGACAAGGATTGACGAGTTGTGCATTCCAAGATGCTTTTCTGCACTGTTATTTGTCTGTTTGTGGCCCACCTGTTAGCTCGCACGATTCTTGCCATTCTCCAGCGACCTCATCAACAAGTTGTTTTCGCCCACAGGACTGCCGCTGACAATGTTTTTTATTTGTCACACCATTCTCAGTAAACCATAGACACTGTCGTGCGTGAAAAGCCCAGGAGGGCGTCAGTTTCTGAGATACTGGATCCGCCTGGCCCCCCTAGCGGTCATGTGGTATAGGACGCAATCGGACCATATTTTGCATTGTTAATTCACATGAAAGTATGCATTTTTCTTACAGTTTGAACAGAAAAACAAATTGTTTAAAAAAAATGCAGTTTAAAATGTTAAGAAAACATTTACATGTCACATCCCTAATATCAAAATCATACAAATCTCAATCTCAAACTTGGGTCCAGGACCCAGGGATACTCACATCAACAATCATTTTACAGCTCTTGCAGGGGCCGATCTGTGTGAAAACCTGTAGGATGAGGGGCTCAGTGACATCCCTGGACAGGTTCCCTACATACCTGGAGTAGAAGGGAAAAGACAAGTACTTGTGACCAGGAAGTTACAACTTCCAGCAAGCTTACTTCACCCTGGTAGAAAAGGCATGCATTTTATTTATTTTTACAGTAGCGGCCACGATTTAGCAACGGCGGTGCACCACTGCTAAATGCATATAGGGGAAACACTTCACTAGTTAGGCCACCTAGCTATCATATTAAACTAATAACCAGTCCATAACATACGGATAAAATGTAATACTGGGAAAATTGACCAACGTCAGGGCACAAGTTAGAGGATGACACCTATGTCTCTGCATACTTGTAATTTGCCACTCCGTTAGCCAACAATGGTGCCTGCTTCTCTGCCAAACCGGTACATTTAGCTAAACAGTACAGTAGTAGCTAGCTAGAATTTCTGAAATGGACAAGTGAACCACGGCTACATTTAAATCACTACCAAGTAGATTTTTATGATCAAGTAATTAACTAGCTAGTTAAAACGATATCTAGCTAACTAATGTATTTGGTGAGACAACGTAACGTTAGCTAGCTCGTTAGTTAAGTTAGTTAAAGAGCTAGCTAGTAGCTAACGTTTCCTAGCTAGTTAGCCTAGTTATGTGTTCTGAGAAGGCTCGAGCCATGGACTGGCCTGATTGATTTGCACCATCAACTTTCTGTCTTAGCTAATGGCTACACGGTGACAGTCTACAAGACATGAGTACATGGGCGTTTATAAATGCTGGAGCATACTTTTTTGTAGCCCAATTTGAAGTAGCTAGCTAACGTTACCGAATTGATATCTGGCTAGCTAGCCCGCGTTAGCTACTTACAGGGTTTTGGGCTGTTCGTCGTCCATCATCATCATGTTTTCGTAGGTACTGCCCCGAATGAGTAATCCGTGTAGCTATGGTATTTTGAGGAATACACACTTTCTAAATATGTGACTTTTGGATAATGTTCATGTAGACTTCAAGAAGTTGTTATAAAAAGGCGCACAACGTAACCCAGTCGCTGACCGCAAACCAGCTGTGATTAGCCTGTATGAACAATGGTTGCACAACCGAAGAGGAAGATGGCGGAAAATCAAGGGGATATCCACCACCGTCGCATGCGCAATGAATGGACCATAATTAAATCATTTGTTTCGCGCTTCAGCAGCAGCAGGCGTCAGTAAACCACTAATAATAATAATATTTCAAAACCTTTAGTTTTAGAATAATGACGACATTTTCAGATACATAAGCATCCATAAACTTGTGATTAACAAAGAAGAACACACGTCTGGGAAACCCACGTGACTGATCACAACTGGCAACACTGTAGCTTGGACCTTTGGAAATCTTTGCTTTGCTTTCGTGCAGGATAAAGGCAAACACATAGGTGACGGTTGACAAATTACTCAATCCATACCTTTTTCACAATGATTTTGATAGGGAATTTGGCGAAAACAAGGAGAGAAAAAAATGTGCGCCGCCCGGGAATCGAACCCGGGTCGAAAGAATGGGAATCTTCCATGATACCATTACACCAGCGGCGCCTACAATACGAGGAGGAAATCCAAGTCATATAATGATGAGATATATGATTTCATAATTCGAATTATTACACATGCGTTTTGTTGAATTTGAGCTTTTATTCATTGTAAAACATTGTAGAAAAAACTAATAGGAAGGCATAAGCCTATGCATCAGAATAAATATGCCTAACCCATATAAAATAAGGATAGAGACAGACCAGCACAACTCTAAAGTTACAGTATTATGGATCGAAATTTACAGAATGGTTACCTGGAGGGTCATGCTTTTTAAATTTCAGTCAATCAAGTCCAGGGGAGGTCATGTAATTTATAATTGATGACATTTCAATTTTTCTCAGTGTTAGAATGAGTTGCTTATTAGCAGTGGTGGAAAAAGTACGCAATTGTCATACTTGAGTAAAAGTAAAGATACCTTAATAGAAAATGACTCAAGTAAAAATGTAAGTCACCCAGTAAAATACTACTTTAGTAAAAGTCTAATAGTATTTGGTTTTAAATATACTTAAGTATCAAAAGTAAATGTAATTGCTAAAATATACTTAAGTATAAATTATTTCAAATTCCTTATATTAAGCAAACCAGATGGCACCATTTTATTGTTTTTTATTTACAGATCGCCAGGGGCACACTCCAACACTCCGACATAATTTACAAACGAAACATTTGTGTTTAGTGAGTCCGCCATATCAGAGGCAGCTGGGCACTCAATATCAAGTGAGCCTATAGGCTATTTAGGATGGTCTCAATCAAATTGTCCATAGCCTATAGGCTACGAAGTGCATGCTCGGAGAAGCACAGAGCAAAGTTATTTATATATATTTTTGTACTTGTACCCCGTTTTCTCCCCAATTTCGTGATTTCCAGGTGGTAGTTACAGTTTTGTCCCATCCCTGAAACTCCCCTACTGACTAGGGAGAGGCGAAGGTCGAGAGCCATGCGTCCTCTGAAACACGACCCTGCCAAGCCACACTGCTTCTTGACACACTGCTCGCGATGGGACAAGGAAATCCCGGCCGGCCAAACCCTCCCCTAACCCGGACGACGCTGGGCCAATTGTGCGCCGCCTCATGGGTCTCCCAGTCATGGCCGGCTGTGACACAGCCTGGGATCGAACCCGGGTCTGTAGTGACGTCTCAAGCACTGCGATGCAGTGCCTTTGACCTCTAAAGTTATATTTCTAAGATAGCTGCTGGGATGGTGTAAATAAAACTAGGCTGCATTACACACTGCAATGGATATTCCAACCCCGGTCTGCTCTGCTCTTGCTGATCAAAACTTTTTTTGTGTACTGCCTATCCAATGGCTGTGCTGTGTAGGCCTACGGTGGCCGTTCAAGAAGAGAGTCAAGGGCTTCTTACGAAAATAATTTTGAATTAGGCCTAGTCCAAAAAATCTTGCGCACGGACTAGCCTATAGCCTATGTTCTGTTCTGTTCAGTTTGAGAAGGAAAGTGTGAAGATGAGAAGGAGGACCTGAGGTCAACATTGATAACTTGCTACTAAGATAGATATATATATATATATATATATATATATATATATATATATATATATATATATATATTAAACAATATGTTTCTTGCCCAATATGTATTTATCAGAGTTATTGACCTCACAACAAGCCAGGTTCAAGTAATTTACATTGTGGTGCTGAAAAGCAGCAGCCTCGGCACAATCAATCGGAAATGGACAGCTCATGGTGCTGAAAGTAGGCAAATTCGAGTAGGCATAATTCATTTCAACATCTTCATTTTAATTAGACGTTACTAACAACAAGAGGGCTTTGTTTCGGAGCCTATTTCTTCCTATTTAAGAAATAAGAGGTAGGCCTACCTGTTTGACAGAAGAAATTAGGCTATAGGCTGATACTGTATATCTATAAATGTGTCTATCAATTCCTCCACACACCATGCACTCTTTAAATAGCCTACCTCTTAAGTTAAAACCAAGACTCAAATTGAGGGGGTATGAGAGGGTATGCCATAGGCCTAACTTTTATTAAAGAAAATGGCAAAAAGCACAGGCCTGCCTACCTCTTGTTAGCTTAAGATGTTGAAGAAAATAAAACTGATCTGATTATATAAAGTGATCTATAACAGCGCTTTTGGTCCCCCTTCAATGCTAGAAACAATCTGGTTTTTGCAACTGCACTTGAAGAAACTCCCGTCAATGTCCAGGGGCGGAGGAGGCGTACCCCGGGGGACGACCAGGAACCACTGGTCTGAGGAGAGACACATGAAACGTGGGTGAGACCCGGTAGTGTGGGGGAAGGAGCAGCCAGTACGATACCTCATTTATCTGCCGGAGGACCTTAAACGGCCCCACGAACCGGGGGCTCAGTTTCTGGCAGGGCAGGCGGAGAGGGAGGTTTTTTGTGGACAGCCAAACACGAACCCCAGGCTGGAATACAGGGGCCTCACTGCGGTGGTGGTCGGCTTGGTCCTTCTGCCGACGAATGGCCCTCTGGAGATGGACATGGGCGGCGTCCCAGACCTGGCCGGCCCTGTGCAACCACTCGTCGACAGCGGGCACATCGTTCTGGCTGGGTGTCCAAGGGGCCAGAGCCGGCTGATACCCCAGGACACACTGGAAGGGAGTGAGCCCCGTGGCGAAGTGAACAAGGGAGTTCTGGGCATATTCTGCCCAGGGAAGAAACCTCGCCCACTCACCCTGCCTGTCCTGACAGTGGCAACGAAGAAACCTCCCCAGCTCCTGGTTCATGCGCTCCACCTGCCCATTCGACTGAGGCCTATACCCGGAAGTGAGGCTGGCCGTGGCCCCGATCTTCTCCAGGAAAGCCTTCCACACACCCCCTGAGGACTGATCCTGTATCCTAGGAAGGAGATGGCCTGTTGGTGGAATTCACATTTCTCCCCCTTCACCAACAGGCTGTGTTCCCGGAGGCGGAGTAGGACAGCTCGGACGTCCCTGACGTGCTCCTCGGACGTATCCGAGTAGATTAGGATATCGTGGATGTACACCACCACCTGTCTACTCAGCATGTCCCGGAACACGTCATTGACGAAGGACTGGAACACAAATGGTGCGTTGGCGAGGCCATAGGGCATGACGCAGTATTCATAGTGGCCTGAGGTAGTACTGAATGGGGGGTGTTGTCCCTCCAGCAGGTCAATGGCGCTGTCCCAGGGCCTGTGAGGAGGGAGACACGTAGCCTTTGATGAAGAGAAGACATCGGAGAGATCTGTGTACTCACGTGGAATGTTGGGCTGGAGGGCGGACTCCGGACTCTCCACTGACGTGGAACAACAAACCACCGGCAGGCAGGTCTTCCGGCATGAGGTGGACCAGGCTGTGATCCTCTTGGTGATCCAATTGATGGTGGGGTTGTGTAGTCTGAGCCAGGGCAATCCCAAGACGATCCGGTGAAGGGGTGACGTGACGATGTGGAATGACAGCTCCTCGTGGTGCTCCGGTAGTGTGGGAATGGTGATGGTGATGGGGAGAGTGACTTGCGTAATGGTGCCTGACCCAAGGGGTTTATTGTCCAATGAGGTGACGTATAGCGGAGATGGCAGTGGCACGGTGGGCAACCCCCATTCAGAAACCAGCTCCC